TTTATGAACGTAGAAACGACCTATATGAACATTCTAGTCATTAGATATATCTACGGGCTTACCTCGAAGCTTATCGAAGGTTTTGAGAATTTTCCGGCGAAACTTCCGGCGAGGATTGTAGCTTGCTCCGGCGACTTCACACCAAATTGACAGCACAACTTCGTTCTCCACACTCACAGCTTTCTCTCAGAGTTTATTTGAAGGAAAATGGTGAAGAAATGGTGAAGTTTGGAGAGGTTTATATAGTGGAGTGGAGAGGAAGAAGACACAGGTCCGTTTCACTGTTCTGGCGTCTCGGTGGAGGGAGCGGCGATTGCTAGGATTCCCAGACGCAAGTCCCTGATTGGGACTAATTTGGTCCCAGTCGGGGAATACTTTTTGGTCCAACTTTCTCCGAATTGAAATCCGATTGCACCGTTGCGATCAGACAGTTAAACTCTATCTAACGATATAATTTTTATATTTATTCGTTATACTTTTTCCGACATCATATTTTTGGGTGGTTGACTTTGACAGAGTCAAAATTGGTTTAATTGACCTTTGTTCAAAAAGGTTCTCACATTTAATTTATATTATTTATTACCATGATTTATTTCAATAAATCATTTCAAAGTTCACATTATAAACAATTTCTTCATTTATTCTTAATTTGGGTCTGTACTCAGGTTCCCAATCAAGATCACACATTAAATCAACATGTTGGATTTATCTCTATGAGATTTATCCCAATTATGTTTATTGGATATGAATATATATTTTATTTCAGCCCAAAGCCCAACAAAAATTTATTTTAATCAAAACAAATTTTGTTTAATTGAATATTTAATTCAATAAATTTTAGGGTATATTTTGGGGCATTACAGTATCTCACATTCTCAAAATATGGAAGGAACTTCTCGAACACTTCCTTACACCATAAGATTCGTTGGTCTTCTTGGCAGTCACTCTCTTGGTAGAAATCCAAAGTTTATGGCTACTGCAGTAGATTTAGGAAGAGAATTGATGAGGCGAAGAATTAGTCTTGCTTATGGAGGAGGCAACGTTGGCCTACAAGGAGCTGTTGCTTCAACAGTCTTTACCAGTGGTGGTCTCGTTAGGGGTTTCATTCCTGGGTACATAGCAACACGGCGGGTCTATGGACCTACATACGGCGTAGAGCACACAGTTTCCAGCAATTACTACAAATATTTTGAGATGAATCATGCCGTGGAAGCTTTCATCATTCTTCCTGGAGGAGTTGACACTATGGAAGGTTTGTTCACCTTGATCTCGTGGGCTTCTAAAGGGTTACACAACAGACCCATTGGTCTCTTGAACATTGACGGTTATTTCAATAACCTACTCAAATTTCTAGATGATGCAGTGAGGCAGAACTTCATGGCTTCCAGTCAGAGGAAACTTTTCATTTCGTCTTTCTTTGTTGATGAGCTTTTAGACAAACTAGAATTTGCTAAAGCTTTCCCGAGTCCGGGAGCCGGTTACGACGAGTTTGCAAATCCTGAGAGATTAGACCTGGAATTGCATCTTTAACTTTCCTCATGTAATCTAAGTTGCATTCATGTTGAAATAATATCGTCCTTGAACATTACGAGTTAGTCATAAATATTATTCTAAGCTGTATGGTCAGTGCAGCTACATTTTCTTCATTCTTCAGTCTTTCACTGTTGGTGTTACTGTTTTACGTCTCGTTCTGTATTTTACGTCAAACGAATCAATCGATTTGTCTTGTTAGCATCACTTTGCTTCACTTATTCAATCAGGTTACATCGACATTTTTGACGATAAGCAATTAAGTCATTAATCGCTTCATGAAAGGAATCAGTTTATTCAACAAGGTCGAGCTGTCTATAGCTTCTAACAAACAGGTTCTTCGAACAAATCGTCTATACGTAATGAAGGGTAGCGATTCTTGATTGTCAGTTTGTCCATCTTCCATAACAAGGATTTAATAGTATCCTGACCGTAAGTCAATCTTAGAGAACACAATGGATCCTCTAAGCTGATCAAATAAGTCATCGATACGAGGTAAAGGATAATGAATTGTTCGACTGACACTAGTTGATACAGAGTCTCATAGATTCTTCTTTATTCGCGTATGATCAGAACATGCATTCTCCCAAGGAGGAAACACTTTATCAGATGATTCCCTGTCAGACAATCTTCATAGATGAGTTTTTTTTTAAACGGAAACATATTCAATACAGATTTACGAATATTGGTCCTCTCGAGGATCAAGATTGACAGAATTTTGAACGGTGAAACATAAGGAAGTTCATATCAGAGAGGTTACATATTTTCGGTATGTTCCTTCAATTTAGATATTTCTTTTTGGGTATCGCACGAATAGATTTCACACTTGAGATGTTTTCGCATATATATATTCGAGATGAACTTGGTCGGTTTAGAAATCAGCTTTGCTTTCACCTCTATAAGGTTACCATCATTGGTCTTCACTTGAGGAATTCTTCATCACAAGTTGACAACAGCAATGACGTTCAGTCAGTTAATGCATACTAAGGATAATGTCGATTTCCTTGTATGGGACTTTAACGATGTTTTACAAAAAATTTCCGCTTAACGAACGATTTTGATTCACATCAAGTAATCGCATAATGTGTCCTAATGAGTCAAACAATAATATCGGATACTTTAGATAACAGAGTTTCTTGATTCTAAACGTTCGTGTTTGAATCAACGATTAGATCGTCTTGAGTCCACAGGAGGATCTTTGACATCAGCTTCACAGATGTTTCTCAACATTTATCGTTTCTTCATAGTCGTCTCACTTTCGTACTATTTTGCGATGCAGATCAGTTTCGTCACTTGCGATGCGAAATGTACGTTGATAACGTATCAGGAGATTATAAACATATCGTTTATTCTTTTGTCTCTACACTGAGTACAAAAGTTCAACTAGAGTCTACGCTCGATACGGTTTCAGTACTAATCAATTGTTATTTAATGAGAATTCTAATAGAGTCATTATTTACCAAGTAAATTCTCACACCTTTTTCCTGGAGCAGAGGGATACGAGAGTCGTGGATGTGATTGACAATATTTTTTTTTAATTCAAATTTTTTATCCGAAGAACGGTTTTAAAACCATTTGCTCCGATACCAAAATGTAACACCCTAATCCGTCCAGGTCTGCAGCCCAATATGAACACAAAACTCAACCAAATGACCATTTATGAACATAGAAACGACCTATATGAACATTCTAGTCATTAGATATATCTAGGGGCTTATCTCGAAGCTTAATGGAGGTTTTGGAAATTTTCCAGCGAAACTTCTGCCGAGGTTTGTGGCTAGCTCCGGCGACTTCAACAACAATCAACAACACCAAACCATTCTCCTCACTCTCAGGATTCTTATGGACTAATTTTGAGAAAAAATGATGCATGTTTGAAGGTTTTGAGTACTCCTTATATAGGAGTTGATGAAGGGGAAGAGGACAATGCTGAGCTACTTCTACGTAGGAATCGGCTGAGTGGAGGAGGAGGTGCCGTTCGCACAGTGTCCCTGATTGGGACCAATTTTTTGTTCCAGTCGGGGTACATTTTTTTTGTTCAACTTTCTCCAAATTGAAATCCGTTTGCACCGTTGCGATCAGACAGTCGAGCTCTATCCAACGATATACTTTTCATATCTGATAGAGATCCCCGGTTCACTTCGATGTTCTAGAGAGAACTTCAGAAGGCTTTTGGCACAGCCTTGAACCTTAGTACGTCATTTCACCCTCAGACCGATGGCCAGTCTGAGAGGGTGATACAGATTGTCGAGGATATGATGCGAGCTTGTGTGATCGACTTTGGAGAAGATTGAGAGCGTTACTTGTCGTTGATGGAGTTTGCGTATAATAACAGTTACCAGGCGAGTATTCAGATGGCTCCGTATGAGGCACTCTACGGCAGAAAGTGCCGAACCCTGATTTGTTGGACAGAGCTTAGCGAGCGTAAGCTCGAGGGACCAGATATTGTGCAGGAAACCGAGGAGAAGGTTTGTGTGATCAGAGACCGACTTCGCACTGCTTCGGACAGAAAGAAATCTTATGCAGACTTAAAGAGACGAGACATAGAGTACAATGTTGGTGACATGGTATTTTTGAAGGTTTCACCTTGGAAGAGGGTCCTACGGTTCGGGAAGAAAGGGAAGCTTAGCCCTAGATTCATTGGACCCTACCGCATTCTGGAGCGAATAGGACCTGTTGCTTACAGGCTAGAGTTGCCACCAGAGTTGAACAGGATTCACGACGTCTTTCATGTCTCCATGCTACGTAGATACCGTTCAGATCCGACTCATGTGTTGCCGACCAATGCTGTAACCCTCGACGAGAGTTTGTCTTACGAAGAAGAGCCAGTTAAGATCTTGGCACGCGAAACTAAAGTACTAAGAAATAAGACGGTACCTTTGGTAAAGGTACTATGGCGTAATCATGCGGTGGAAGAAGCAACCTGGGAGACCGAAGAATCTATGCGAACTCAGTACCCTCATCTCTTCGACGACCAATGACTCAGGTAATTTTGAGGAAGAAATTCTTTTTTAAGGGGGGGAGAAATGTAACGCCCCGAAATCTGGCCCAAAAGAATTAAATAAATTGTTAAAGCAATTGATTATGAATTGGGCCCAAAAAGGAGTTAAAATTATAATTTGGATTCTAAGCCCAACTTTTATGTCATTTTGTAGGAAATATTTTTGTGATCGCGGCGGTTCAGACGGCTCGCGAATCGGAGTTATGGAGCTCATGTTATGACCATTTAATCTGGTATTTTGGGCCCGGAGCCCAAACCACTAGTATTGGAATTAATAAATAAAACCTAAACCTATTATCTTCCGCCGAGAGCCACACGATCGTTATTTTCTTCATCTTCTTCATTTCGGTCGTCCTTCCCCAGCCATCGCCGCAGCCTCTCCCTCGCCGGAAGTCCGTCGCCCACTGCCAGGGTCAGCGCCGCCGATGACGGTTTCCAATCGCCGCTGCTTCTCCTTCGCCAGAGGTCCGCCACTCACCGCCAGGTCCAGCGCCGCCAATCGCCTCCAGCCGCCGTCGCCCTTAGAACAGCGGCCATCCTCGCCGTCGAATGCAGCGCCGCCACGCCTAGCGCTGGACGTCGCCTCCACTGCCGGCGTCTTTCCTCGCCGTCGAGTTGCAGCGCCGCCAGTTGTTGGAGTTGTGCCCTGATGGCCAACTGTTTATCGTTATTCTATCATGTATAGGCAGATATAATATGTTTACACATCTCATGCTAATGTAAACAAATATTATATTCCTAGATTTATATTTAAAAGATGTTTATCAGATAGTGTTTTTCTGCTGATTAGACTAAGTAGAACTTTATTTATAAATAGATTTACAGGTATCAGCTCATAATTGCTCTCACCCTATAGCAATTACGTACACTCTGATCACACACAACCTACAAACTGAATCAGAGTATCAGTTACTGCCACACAAGCGTAGGCGTGTACCCGTCTATAATAGATCTCTATTATCCTACGGCCTGACTGGGTAGGATTTCATGTTGCATGAACTTTTAGTTCATGCTCCAAGCATCTTTAGCGCGACCACGGGTGTAACTATCCTTCGACTTGAAGTATTACGTTTTCAGCATATGTGAACCCGCATACTTTGATGCATTGTCCTAAGCCATATGAAATAAGGATGGTATACAGGCTTTGTTTTGGGTATGCCGCAGCGCATATTCAGAAACGTAGATTACGTACATAGGATTTGTCACTACTCTTTTTAAGAGATTATCGTCTTATGGGGCCCACTGATAAGTTATGATTGAGGAAATTGCATGGCCATGCTGAGATGTTTTTATGACGTCTGTTCCTATCAGTCACACTTGATAAATCAGTGAATGACTTAATGGATACAAGCTGGATTTTATTAAACCCTTGCATTAAGTTTAGACATTGAGACAAAGGGATACAGTTACACGGAGTCTGAGTCGTGGAAAGGTTTTGACGGTGCAAACGTCTTAACTTATAATCTGGGGGCATTAATATGTTGCTAGATACCGCTTATTGCTTATAGTATTGGTGCAGAGCCAATACTGTGGCCAGCTTTATAAGTGCCTATACGGGTCACACACTTTGAACAATTTAAGGAGTAGGATTAAACAATGGGATAATAAGTAATTTGTATATTTGTAAAATAGTAAAATAAAATATTTTGGAAAGTCCTAAGTTCAGAGAGACCTGATAATCGATTATTGTCTGTGTGATAATCGATTATCAGTGAAGCCAACTCAGACCCAAGAATCCGCAGAGCGTGATAGTCGATTATCACATATGGGATAATCGATTGTCATGCTGTGCTGAACCAACTGAGGAGTCCGGTGTGGCCTGATAATCGATTACACTATCGTGTACTCGATTATCAAGGCACGCTTATTTCCATTTTATTTGTTTGTAGTAATCAAACGTGAGAAGTTCTTAGAATCGAATGTTTTCGTTCCCACGCTAAGTAGTCGATGAGTTTACGGGGTTCCAAAACATTTATGGTAACGAGTACATAACTTAATAACATGGGCTCACATAAGTTGGATACGAACATGCATAGATTCAACGTAGGTTGCGTACAATATTTCTATGAATACAACGACATAGATTATAACTAAATGTTCTAGAGTTAGAGGGACAACTACTCACCTCTGAACGAAGGGGTTGACGAAACTATGAGACGAGATGAACAAACGGTTAGCAAGGAACCAACGAACGGACGAACGACGACTACGCTTCGCACGAACGGCCTAGCCCTTCTTCCCCTTCAACCTTGCACCGCCGGAACTTCGCCAGAGGTCCTCCTTGCTGCTGGCCTGGCCGAACAAAGGGGAGAGGAAGGTGGATGGTGATGATGACTATGGGAGGTTACAAAAATGGTGGAGGAAAGGAATGGGTTCGGGGTTTTTAATTGGAACCAATTATGAGGGAAATGATGGAGACTTAATGGGTCATGAATGTGTGTGAGAGTGAGTAACGTGAGAATTGGGTGGGGGGTTACAAATACTTATCCTACTCCAAAGTGTAAAATCTGACCTGAACGGTATGCGCTTTTCCCCCCGAACGGGTCCGAATTGAGATCCGTTTGCTTTTCTGGAATTAGACAGTCAAGATGAATTTAATGATATGATCAAATAATTTTTCAAAGAACTTTTCATTTTCCCCAAACTCCGGTCCGGAACATTAATTTATTATTTAAAATAATCAATTCTATTAGACCGGGTTGCAGGGCGTTACAATTATCAACCCCTTAAGAAAATTTCGTCCTCAAAATTTACCTGATCACTGGTCACTGAAAAGATGTGGATAACGAGCACGCATGGATTCCTCTGTTTCCCATGTCGCCTCCTCGACGGTGTGACTTCTCCACAGAACCTTGACCAGCGGAATGGTTTTGTTTCTCAACTGACGGACCTCACGAGTCAGAATCTCAACCGGCTCCTCCTCGTACGTAAGATGCTCATCAAGTGTGACCGTATCAGCTGGAATCACATGAGAAGGGTCCGACCGGTACCTCCGGAGCATGGACACGTGGAATACATCGTGGATCTTGCTCAACTCCGATGGTAACTCGAGCTTGTAAGCTACAGGTCCTACCCGCTCGGTGACTGGGTACGGGCCTATGAACCTCGGGCTCAATTTTCCCTTCTTCCCGAAGCGTAAGACGCTCTTCCAAGGCGACACCTTCAGGAAAACCTTATCCCCGACTGCATACTCGATGTCACGCCTCTTAAGGTCGGCGTAGGACTTCTGCCGGTCCGAAGCCACCTTAAGTCGGTCTTTAATCACCTGGACCTTCTCCTCGGTCTCACGAACCAAATCTGGCCCTTCCAACCTCCTCTCGCTGAGCTCTATCCAGCAGGTAGCAGTACGACAGGGTCTACCGTACAGAGCCTCATACGGTGCCATACCAATGCTAGCCTGGTGACTGTTGTTGTATGCAAACTCCATGAGTGGCAGGTATCGCTCCCAACCGTCCCCGAAGTCGATTGCACACGCACGCATCATATCCTCGAGAATCTGAATCACCCTCTCTGACTGACCGTCCGTCTGAGGGTGGAACGCCGTACTAAAGTGGAGATCGGAGCCCAATGCCCTTTCTAGACTCTTCCAAAACTGTGATGTGAATCGAGGGTCACGATCCGAAATGATAGATGAGGGTACTCCATGTAGCCTGATGATCTCGCGGATGTATAACTCCGCTAATCGCTGGAGTGAGAAGTCACGACGAATGGGGAGAAAATGTGCTGACTTGGTCAACCGATCAACGATGACCCAAACTGTGTCGTGCTTACGTGGTGACAATGGTAGTCCCACGACGAAATCCACCTGTTGACAAGTCAAACACCGCGACGTGAATTCTGTGATCTCCCGCTTCATCACGGGCCACCAGTAATGTGTCCTAAGGTCCTGGAACATCTTGTTACTACCCGGGTGCATGGTATACACAGTGCTGTGTGCTTCGCAAAACAGGCGTTCTCTCACCTCCCCCGCTGGCACAACCATACGCTCCCGATAGTACAAGATACCATCCCAAACTACAAAATCCGGCTTCTTGATAAGTCTTCAAATGTCATTTTTTATTCCTTCATATTAGCCCGTTTTAGTACAATCCAAATGCATTTTATACACATTTAATCACTATTATGTTTACATAGCAATTTAGGCCATTATTTGTATTTTATTCATAAAATGCATTCTTTTGTTTATTCTTTTACTTCACTATTTTTATTATCTCATTTACCTTGACGTAGGTTTTAAAAATCGTTTTACGGAGCATTAAAGGGCTCGGTGATCCCGGGGGCTGTCAAGAATTAGATGAAGAAGCTAAAAGGGCCAAGTCACCTGGGACTTGACCCATAATCCATTACGCAGCCCAGAGACGCCCAAGAAAAACGAAAAAAGAAGTCATCCAAATGAAGCAATGTAGCCAGGACCTGCGTATGCCTTCGTTTGTACCTGCGGCAGCCCAATTCAGCGCTGCATCCAGAAATCCTAGAGGATAAACGATCCCCAGAGTCCAAACGAAGCCAAAGGTCTAGAGTACTTCT